GTTGCTATCCCGTTCGGAGAACTATTCGAACGGCAGATAACTGTAAACAAACATCAGCATGTTCCTCTTGATTTGGTAAACGTAATCACTTTACGAACCATAAAGGGCGATTCCGTATCCGCTACTGTTTCTCCTTTTGTGAATCACCCCTCATTAAGCCTCAGCCTTCTCCGATCTACTTTGCGCTGACGATATCACATCATGGAGAGCTGTGGCATCTAGAACAGAATCAAGTACACAAAGTGATCTCAGATTCGTTGCAGAGTCGGTGAATTGCAACGGACTAGCACCTAACCTGAACAAACGCCGGACTCAGTTGTCACAAACTTCCTGCCAGCAGAAAGTATCCTACTCTTCGTGTGGCACGCGTCTTTCTCACTCGATCGCACAGAACTAACATGAACTGACACTGACTGATAGGCTAGGCATCAGTTCCAGCTGCTTAAGATATACCTCAGAACCTACGCAGCAGTGCATTACATTTGCAGACAACTAGGTGCCAACACTTCGAAACCCTTTCTGAAGCTCAAGACAATGTACGCCCTCATTCAGAGGTCCACAAAGTTGTTGCCACTCCGTTCCTGAAAATAGATGTGGACCTTCTAGAGAAAATTCGGGGGCCCCCAATGAAGGGTGCCAAGTGAGTGTAGCAAAAGCTACATGAGGACAGGCTTGAGGAGCTAGCACTTTACTTTCTTAGCTGCCATAGGTTGCATTGCGATTTGGCAACTACTGGGCAATCCAAATTACCTGAGCCCGTGCACGTTTACACTTTTCGCTCCTCGAGTTCGCTGCCACAAGAACGTTTTGGCATAGGAGATCGGTATGTTTCGTCCGTCAAAAGCCCCAAAAGGAGGTCTGGCAGATACGAAACGACCCATGGCTTACGTTTATCTGCCTGGGGTATGCACCAGGTCAATATAAACAACTAAATCGCACATCATAACCCAGTCAACTCGACACCGGATCTTTGGTACTATAAGCATCATCGCCATCTTGAATCAAAATGATGCTTCCACCTCCGGTTTTCGTACCTCATTAGAAACATAACTATTTATCTTCCTATAACATTACCTGCAATCTCTCCTGGTTAACTAGTTCACCAGTTACTAGCCGGTCCTAAGCCCTGACAAAGAGGGAATGTTGGGCATAGGGCTAGCAACCCTACCCCGTAAAAGAAATCTAACCGCTAAACAAACTTCACAGCGCAAACGAAATATAAAAAGTAAAAACAATATTATTCCTTTCTGGAATCGGAGAGGAGAAATGACGCCAGTTGGTGAAAGCCTTCGGGAAGACAATTAACCGGGCCGATGTGTCTTCTCTTCTCTCGATGAAACCGAAAGTAAACATGGGGACATGTAATGTCGGCACAGTGTTTGAACCCAGCAAGGCAGCCCAGATTACAAACGAGATGAAGGGGTATCACACTGAAGTGCTTGGAATTTGCGAAAGCAGATGGAATGGAAGTGGACTCTCCAAACTGTCAATTGGAGACGAGTCAATAACCTACTCCGATATTGTCACCCAGATGACAACCACGAGCATACTGAGTTTTGGAGTGGCTATCATGATGTCCACATTCCAACAGCATCGAAGGCTCTCTCTCATACAGTGGGAACCAATCTCCTCATGCAGGATCAGGATCATGACAGCGAGGCTCAACTCAAAAGGAAGGAAGGTCACAATCATACAATGCCAATACTACACACCTACAAATAATGCAGAGCAAGAGAAGAAGGAGGGATTCTACAGACAACTTTGAACAACGCTGGACAAGACCTCACCGCAGTTGGCGATATCAAAGTTCTCATGCGTGACATGAATGCCAAACTGGAGGCAGACAACACAGGAAGAGAACTAACCGTCGGTCGAGAAGCGCTCGGTGAGATGATGAACGAGAATGGAGAATTGTTTGCAGAATTCTGTGCATTCAACGATTTGGTGATTGGAGTCAGGCAGTGTGTTCAAGCACAAGGATATCCACAAAGCGACATGGATTTCACCAGACACCAGTACACACTAAAAATCAAATCGACTTTATCTCAATCTCGAGAAAATGGAGACGCAGTCTACTTGACACAAGGTGAAGAAGAGGAGCAGATGTAGGTTCAGACCACTATCTAGTGCAAGGAACCTCCCAAATCAAGTTGAAAGCCTTCAAGGAAGCTGGTGATAGACCACAGTTTAAGTACAACACTCGGAAACTGAAGGACGAAACTACAAAGGAAATCTTCACGGCAGCCATCAAGACAAAGTGGGAGATATCGAGGAACATCCCTGAAGAAACCTGTGTGGGAGAACACTGGAAGTCTTTGAAAGAGATGTGGAAGGAAACCTGCACAATCGTATTACTAAGGAAGAAGAAAGGAGGTAAGGAATGAATCTCGATAGATACATGGAAGCTGGTAGAGGAGAGGAGAAGAGAATGGTGAAACAGAAGATAAACCAGTGCAAGGATGCTCAACGACAAGAGGAACTGAGTAGAATGTATAAAACACTACACTGGACAAAGAAGTGAAGAAGAGTGTACGGAAAGACAAAAGACAATTCTACGAAAGTGGCAAGGGAAGCAGAACAGGCTGTAGGTAAGAGAGACCTGGCAACATTGCATCAAATAACCAGGTTACTATCTGGGATGGAAGAGATCAACGCAGACGAAACCAATAAAAGATGATGACGGAAATTTAAATACGAAAGAAGAGAAACAAAGGAAACGATGGGCCGACCACTTCAAGAAGCTCTTGAATCGACCACCACCACCACCTGCACTTCGTCCAGAAATACCACCTACAGCCGCTGAACTACAAGCGAACATAAATTCTCCAACAAAGTGGAAGTCCCGAACGCCAACAGCGGACATGCTTACACCACACCACTATTGCAGAAGGTGTGGAAGGAAGAGAAAGAACCTGGCGACTGGAAGAAGGGTTACCTGGTCAAACTCCCGGAGAAGGGAGACCTCAGTGTTTGCAAGAACTGGCGCCGAATCACGCTCCTGTCCACCCAGTGAGAGCTGAATATTAGGCCGCATCATCCTGGAGAGGCTAAAGGATGCTCTAGATTCAAAACTACGACCAAAACAGGCAGGCTTCAGGAAGTACAAATCATGTGCCGGCCGAATTGCAACGCTACACTGCGCATCATCATAGAACCGAGTATAGAATGGCAGTCAACTCTACACCTCAACTTTATGGACTTTGAGAAGGCCTTTGACAGCATCGACCGAGAGGTAATTTGGAAACTGCTTCAATACTACGGAATACCACAAACCTTTATCAGCCTCATTCAACAACTATATGAAGACGCCACATGCCAAGTAATTCACAGTGGGAAGCTCAGTGATGCTTCTGAAGTAAAGACAGGTAGGAGTGAAACAAGGTTGCGTACTATCACCCATGACATTCCTGATTATGGTGGACTGGATCATGCAACAAACAGTGGGGAGCTGTGAGAAGAGGGAGATACGCTGGACTGGGGAAAAGTACCCAGAAGATCTGGATTTCGCCAATGATGACTTGTGTCTGATGTCACACGAACTTGAAGATCTGCAGGCGAAAACTGACAAGTTGGCAGAAGAGAGGCAGCGAAGACGGGACATCATTCAAGTGAATATAGAGAAGACAGAGGTGATGAAGAAACCGCACCGCCACCAACAACAACAAACTCCAATCACCATGAACGGGAGAAACGTAAAGGAAGTAACCTCCTTCACCTATCTAGGAAGCACTGTTTCAACTACAGGCGGCACAGACGGGGATGTCAAAGCCAGAATCGGAAAAGCAAGACAGGCTTTCGTTAGCCTGAGACCAGTGTGGAGATCTTCTGCACTCAGCATGTGGAGTAAGATGCGGATTTTCAACACCAATGTCGTCAGTGCTTCTGTATGGTTGAGAGACTTGGCGCGTTACGAAAGGGATTTCCAATAAATTACAGACATTCATCAACAACTGCCTACGCTGGCTCGCTGCTGGAGATTAGATGGCCAGAATGGTAGGAATAAGCAACAAGGAGCTCTGGGAAGGAACCAACAAAGCAAGAACCTATCACCCAACAAATATGCAGAAGGAAGTGGAGATGGATTGGGCATACACTGAGAAGGCCGACTGGGAACATCACGCGACAGGCTAGGTCGTCGAGTAGAACCCTGATGGAAAACGAAGAGTTGGGCGTCCGAAGATGGCATGAAGGAGATCACGCGAGGAGGAAATGAGAGCTTGTGGGCTGTCGTGGAGCCAGGCTCAAAAGATTTCAGAGAACAGAGCGCTTTGGAGACTTGCCACTAAAGCCCTATGCTCCATTAGGAAGCCAATGGAATGATAATAATAATTATAATGGCTACATTACCGGCGCCTTCTCCCTCTGACTCTATGATTTCATCACAGATCTCTGTCCCGTCTTCGCTCAATCTGCCAGAAGTTCTCCCTCCCTTACGTTGTGTATCATTTCAACCCTATTTTTCTCATCTCTTCTCCCATGTTTTCGCTTGACATCTTTTCATCCTTTATCTCTTTTTATTATCAGTCCCAATAATTTCTGAAGGAGATATAGAACACTCAACGGAACTTTCAGGAAGACCTTTTTCGATTTCCCAAACACGCTGAGTTCATATTAAAACTTGCTCATATAATGAATCCAAATAACTGTCCGGGGAGGCGACATTTGAGCAGCTCATCTGCACTACAATCATGGAACAAACTATACAATCCCTAGAAATTAACTGAAAACCTAGTCACTCATCGGGAAAGCCAGGACTTAAGCACGTGAGTGAGTAGACATGCTGCACCGAAGTCCATCAAAGAACCGAAACCATTCCTCAAGGCCTAGAAGTCAGCGAGCAAAAATCAACTGGCTTAAACAGCATCATAGATATTAAATTAAATTAGAATATTTGAAAGCTTCAAAAATCTTTCGGAGTGTATGAACCATTGTTTGATGAGAACTATTGCGGACAGGCAACGGAGAATGTATTTGTTTGTACCAATCACTAAGGTAATTCCATCAAGTATAAGGGCGTTGATTTGAGAGAGCGCGATGCTCATCAAGGAATTGTGAGTTGTTCTGTCCCACCTTTATGGGGACGTATTCATTCTTCTGGTTATTTCTGGATTAGGGTTATACTATATAGTTTCTAGAAAATTTTATCTCAAACGTCAGTGTACATTATGTATAGTTATGTAGACAGAACTAAAGTCACTGTTCTTCGGGTAGTTTCTGTTTATTATTTCAGGTGTTCGTTGTAAGCCTATCGATCCCTTGAATTAGACTTTTACATTGTAGAAAGAAATAGCCACTTTTTTGTCATGCAAACATATCTGATAAATAAGGTTTAATGAGTTGGGTGGCAGAAATTTCCAAGGTTGTGTTGAAGACATGTCAATGCGACCGATATGCTCTCTTTTAAACTTGAAAGGGATTTTACCTTGATGTCTTTAGCTGACATTTTAGATGGTTTCTCGGGGGGGGACCGTCTTGTTTGTCGTTCTGAGAGCATTATCTTTTGCGTGAGTGCAGTCGACGGCTTATTAGCAGTAATAGATGAAGTGGTCGAATTTCTTAACCACACCTTTTAACTAAGAAATCGCATCATCATTGGTAGTCTAGCAGGTAACAATGCTTTGACATGAATCCCAAAAGTTTGACCGGTTATATCAATCCTACTTCATTCGTGTCATGTGTGATTTCTGATTGCTTGCTGTTTCCTGATTTCTTAAAAGGGGGTTTGTTTACTTTACTCATTAATTTCACGAGCATCCAACGGTTCCAAGTGCTTAGCATTCATCGCCTCAGTGTCTTCATATGCTTAGGATGGAACCACCGTGAGAGCAATGTAGACGGTAGATTTTCTTGTGAAGTAAAGAAGGTAAGCCAGTTTATGAAATGAAGAGCCAATATCTCTTTAGGTGGTAAAAATATTTTAATGCTCATCTCTAGATCAAACCACTTAACAAAAACAAACTAGTCATCATTGCTACGTACTATCTTTTTAAGTGTGGAAGGTTGAAACAAGGTATGCTGCAATTCATCTGTCATGTTTTTATCTGTAAAGAAGTAAATGGAAACCCCTTTTGTAAGCAGGGATGTTAACTGGCTTCTCGAACTATAGCACCTTAAGTGACGTTGAAATCGGTGTTCAACCTGTCGCTTATAGACCCAAATAAAATCAACGTAGAACCTGGTAGAGAAGTGCACTGGTTCAAGTTGCTGTACCTAACAATAGCATGCAAATGACAAGTGGGTAGAAAAAGACTGATATCAAAGTGCACGAAAGGGTATGAGACGAAAAGGAATTTAAAAAACAGTTTAGTGAAAATATCCAAGCTTCGGAAGATGTCAAGGAGTGAATACACCTGTGACATTGTGGCCGATTTTCAGTCATGTCACCAAGAGTCCTCAACCATTCATTCCCATCATCTCGAAGACCTAATCCATGCGGAATACACCTCACTACACAGCACAAACCAACAGTCAGAGACTTCAGTAACTGATAACTTATCTTGACCACATTGAGTCCCTTTCCAACAATCCTCCTTCAGCTGACATTGGACATTGAGGTAGGCGATCGCTTGGCATGCGCAACACATGTTCAAGCTGCCTCAGTCGTTTCAGGCTAACAAACTCGTCGACTGGCTGATGCATCTCCCCAAGTAAGTGAGATGGTCAACGCACTCCACCACTTCCCTACATATCCTTAGAATGGAATTAGTCGCACTCCAGTCCTGGGGTATCATCTTACATTCGACAGGTGCAAAACATATGTGAAACATACAGATTTCTACTCAAGGCGCCCAAAAAACGCTGCATTTTGTTGACCTTCACCTAATAGGGCAATATCGTCTGCGTACTCCAGGCCAGTCCCATTCTCACCCTGTAAAGTCAGAGGCGCCTGAGATTATGTTCGTTATTAATCTATAACAAAGTTGGACATGAAAAGTGACGGCACCCATCCCCGCCGGACACCAATATTCGTCATCGACTCAGATGACAACTCTCCACAAGCCCTTACATAGCTACGTGAGTCTAAGTATAGAGTTTTGATCAACATTATATGCTTGCTGGGTACTCTTTTAACAGTCAAGCGGTGCGACAACACTTCACAGTCGATAGAATTGAATGCTGCTTTCAGGTTAGGACAAATGGCGATTATTAGGTGCCCTTAAGTGTGCCCGTGTTCCATAACCTGACGAAAAATGATGATTTGATCGGTGCACTCATCCAGGTGTGAAACCTACCTGGTTTTCTGTAGTTTGATGTTCTCAAGCTTCAGTTAAGCATCTTACAGCCATTTTAGTTGGACTGATTCCCCTGTGATTGTCAAAAGATTCTTCTCCTTTCTTATGAAATGGTTTGATCAACTAGTTGGACTAGTCTCATGTAACTACCCCTAGTTCGATACGCCAGTCAACACCTCCGTTATTATACTCCATAATTTCCTGCCACTACTCTTAAGCCCTCTGGTGACGAGTTCTCAGGTCTCACTGTTTCGTATCATTTCAGGTTTGAAACAACCTTCCCAACTTCTAGGAGAGTTACAGGACTGACATCTACGTCCTATTACGGTTCGGGCTTGACACTGGGCAACTGAAGCCTTGTTGTTGGCCTCTCGAACTGTGCTTCAAAGTGTTCTGGTCAAAGTTCTGGCCGTCCGTCCTTAGGAGTTATCAGGGTTCCATGCTTTTCGGTGGCCTCGCTGACCAACGTCTTCCTCTTGTCCGTATCTTTAGTAAGTCTAAATAGCTGTCAGGTATTACATAATACTGATACCTTCCCCACCCCGTCGCTTTTGCCACTCACCACTGCTCGTGATCATTGCGAAAGCTTGGTTAATTTACGTTTGAGTTGCTTTCGCTCTTCATTATGGTCAGAACCACCTAAAGCGAGTCTTCTCGCACCAGCCAGTTTGGATGAGGCTGCGGAAACCCATCGGTATTTGTTAACCTTTGGAGGTAGATTCCCAATTGTTTTTACCGCTGTTTCTACAGCAAACTTAACGTCACACCAATTTTCCTCAGAATGAGAACTAGTGTCATTTTCAGACGAATGCTTAGTTGTGTCCTCTTGAAATACGCGCTTGATGCTTTCATCCAACCGAACATAGGCCTCACCGTCACCTGTCTTCTGCAACCGGTAACATGCAAACATACACGTGAGCGTGGTTGGAGTCCTTGCAGGCAGTGACGGTTTATAGCAATATGATCTGTAGGTTTGACGGTGGACGCCGTGTGAGACAGCGTCCATCCTTATGCTTGAAGTTAGGGCTGGTTAGAAACAAGTGTTTATCAAAACAAAATTGCAGCAGGATCGCCATCGTCGGTTTATTGACATGAGATTCCGTAGATACCTCGAAAATGCTTTTCCGACTCTCTCAGCTTGCCTAGTTGATCGATGAATTCGCTTGCTAGCATGACCACGTCTGGACGTTTTGCCATAATTGGCAGTTTTTGATCGAATTCATCTTTGCATCATTCAAACTGCAGTCACTGGGCAAGTAGGTGAAAATTATGGATAAGTGTCTAAAAGTCTTGTGATCCTTCCCAATTCGAAAAGATCCACTCAGCCGAATAGCACACAGACGGCTACTGACCGCTATCTAGTCGAGAAGTGCACTTTCCGCTGTGCCTACACTAGTGGGTCCTCGAAAGGTAGCCATTGAATCTCCAGACAGTAGATTTTGAAGATTCATCATCGGATCCCGTACACGTGCGTCAGGAACACAACATAATCCTTGGCTAAGAACCCTAGAGGTCCGGTGAGCGATGTCTGCTATCTGACTTGGCGTAGGGTTCGGACGTTGAAAACTTTATTGCGAAACCGACAGCAGGGTTTTGAGGGACTGGAAATATTGCTTAGCTGGCTTCTATCTTCGGTAATGGTCAGGGTGTGAGGTTAAAGAGGTGGTAGGAGGCTTAAAATTGGTGTGAGGAAGTGAAGGGAAAGAGGGGACAACGGTGAGGGATGTGAGCTATAGTAAGTTAGATTTTGTGTGCTCCTCGTGGCGTGTGTATGGTTGTCACTTCCCAGCTAGCCACACCCGTAAAAGGCTAGTTCTCGTGTGGATACGGAATAAGGTAGAGTTAATGTGTGATCACGACATCCAGCGGTTACGTACTCGAGGTTCGTCACACTCGGCCCTCCTAGAAGTTTGGGGTTTCAGTTTTCCTCCCTCGATTTCAATTGTGAGCCCCACATCGTTAGCATCGGTATTCCGTGGAGTAGAGGGGAGTGCTAATTTTGCAGCCGACCTCTTCTAAGCACCCCTTCCCACAAGTAAAGCAGCGTTAGTGTCGAACTGTTGGTCATCCGCATGAAGCAACTTGCTACAATCAACAGACATCCAGTTAGCAGTGTGGCTTCGCCCTCGGTTCCTCATTGTAGCGCGGCAACTTGTAGTATAATGGTAACTACTTTCGTCTTACCACTATCCAACTGACCTTACTGGCATGGTTGGGCCATGCCGAGAAAAGCGTTCCATCAACATGGGTCGTTGCATCATTGGGATCTGCAAGCTGGATCATCACGTTAAGGTAGTGGTTGTCAGTCGGCTCGTGTTCACTGACCGTTTACCGTTTGGCACAGCGTAGAGCACATGTGCATGTGTGTGATTGTTAGTCTCATGAAACTTTTCTTTGACTTATTCAGCCAGACGTGTTTCTCTTTCGCGCTAGCTTCCCAATGGTTACAGTGGGTGATGCAAATTGTGGTACCTCCTAGAACTTTCCTGTGTATACCACCTTACTAGTTTTATTTATCTACTCAAGATGACAGTTATTTGCATTCTGAGCCCCACTAGACTGTAGTCGACTGGTATAAAAATCAGGCTTCCAATCAGTTGGATGTAGGTGCGAACACTTATTTCTAAAATTAAGAGGGCGATGTATCACCAACCATCATAAAGTTACTGCCTTATTGCGTAGTATACGAATCTGTACGTAAATACTGGAGTCTGAAACATTCTAAGTACGCTTTGTTCTTCTGGAGTACGTGTAAGTTAACAAAATTTCACCAACTCCAGCCTGAGTTCCTGCCTTGAATCATTTTAAAAAATGACGGTTGGCGATTTCAAACAATGATTTTACCCCTAAAAATTAGTTTCAAGGCAACTCACATATGTGATAAGGCTTACGTGCTAGAGCATGTCACCATGCGAGTAACGCAGAAGTCAGCCGTAGAGTTTTAGGGTGGAGAGATGACGGTTGATGTGGTTGTGAACCTTCATATACGGAAATGGCTGCGACTGGTGCCTAGCCAATCTCTGCCTCGTCACGCAATGCTCGCTGACGTAGGTTGAAGCTGGAAAACGGCTTGCAGCGCCCAGATTAAAAGATGACATTAATGTGTGAAGTCCTAGACTGTTGATTTGAGCCAGATAGGGTTATGCAGATCAGTAGGTTGAAGTTCGCGAGAGAAGAGAAACCAGTGGTTGGGGACTCTAGGTGTTGCAGTTCAAAACCGATGTCAGTGGCACAGATGCACGCGCACATACACACTTTCCTCATCTTAACCCCTGTTCCTACTCTCGTCATCTCACTCTTCCTTCCTCTCCTTTACCACCTGCTACTTCCTTTGATGGGTTTTTCCTTATAAAAATGGGTTCGATTCTGATTAGTTTCACGATTCACTATGGTTGTAAAGGTAACCCAACCCCGCACAAAGGTATAAGCTATACTGATTAGATGAGGGTTATTAATACTACTCGCTTGCCCATGCCGAAGTAAGCGGAGCGGAGCTCGAACCCGTAGTCAATTGCTTGAAAGCCAAGTCCTTGAAACACTGGACATCTCTCTGATTGACGCCAGGGTGACGTTTTCCTCTTGATGTGGAAACCGGCGTTTGAATCTCATGTTCTTTTGTCCTGAACAAAGCTCAAGCTTCTGAAAGTATCATGACAGCCGGGCAAACTGACACTGTCCGACTGTGATGGGAGTACGAGATAGGTGTATAAGGCTCTCTTCTCGAACTCATGCAGCTGTGTAAGGGTTTATGGAGAATTGTCATATGAAATGATTTGAACTCGTAGTATCTGCTATGGATGCTTCAGAACTGGTGTGGAACCACTCTCAGCTTAGTGATAGGATGTGTCGACTACTTCGTTTACTTACTTGCATCAGCATCAGCTGGTTGCTGATAAAGTTTACTCTGGGATGCAGAAGGCTCTTTGAGCATTTGCCAACCTATATAACGTCTGGGGCCGGCGCGATATCCGACTGTCTATAAAGTGAGGAGTATACTGCGTTTCAGATCGTGGTGCTCTGTTACACGGCTGTGACGCGGCTGTTGAAAGTAGAAAACACGAAGCGATTAAAGGGGTTTGGTTACAGGTGTCTTCGTGGCATTGCTTGCTTTTGGTGGAACGATTTTCATGAGCAATTTTGTGGTCAGGCAAAGGGTACTAAGCAGGGCAGGCAAGTAGATTGACGCGGTTATGAACCTTAGTCATCTGAGATGGCTTTGGTATGTACTTCGCATGCCGAACCACTGCCTACCTCGACATGCGATGCTTGTGGAAGCTGGACTAGGCTGGAAGAGAATTCAAAGTGTCCAGACCAAGATTTAGCACAAGTCCATGAAGTCTCTTAGTGTTGTTCTGAGTCATGGGCGGTTTGGATTGCCTGGTTGGGGTCTCTGAGACGAAAGTAATCAGTGGTTGAAGACTCAGTGTGGTGGATAAAAGTCGGTCACAATGGAGCAGATGTATTCACTGTTTGACGTCTTCTTAAGCTTGAATATTCGCATCAACCTTTATCTTCAGAGTGTTTATTATCTCACACTGGTTTACCTACTTTGATATCGATCTTCTATCTAGTTGTTCTTTGTTCATTACTGTGAAGTGTGGTAACTTCAGGTGAAGCACTTGTGTACGTTGATTTTTTTTCAGTCAGTCAGCAGCTCACTGGCTCAAAACAGTAGCAAACATGGCTCAAATTCTAAACCAGTGGCAATCATGCTGCAATTTTCTTTCTTTTCTGTTTCTGAAAAGTAAAACTAAGGTAGTCAATGCTTTGTCTTTACTTTTTTCCTCCGTTTCTTTAACAAGCCATTTCTTTTTGTTTCCATTCTCTCTTCCACTTCCTCTGTCTTCATACGGTTCATTTATTATTTTTATGGTACATCTCTTGATGCCTATGTTCCTAGTTTGTGTTGTAATGAATGGCAATAATAATCACTAGTAAATCACTAAATATCACATTTGGTTGTTGTTAGCACTTTAGTCGGTTGTAAAGAAGCACCATGTTTTTAATGTTTGTAATTTAAACTGAAATCTGCGTTTTCATTTTTTAGCTGATAAAAAACGGTCATTTTTCTGAAAGCAGTTTGCTATGCTTTTACCAAATATTGTTTTTTTTGAAATAGTCCACAAGACTTAAAGTTCTATCGTTGTAATCAAGTAAGATGGAGATATCTTGTTGTCCCGAGGTTAATGCATCGGAAACTTCTGTTTTACGGTCAATTAATGTATTGCTTTATTCTATTCCTTCATTGATTATTCTTAACATCTACTAAGAAGGATTATGTGTACTTCTGTTTCGCTTTCTTGACTTTTGGTAACAAATGTGAACATTGTACGGGTGCTACAGCTGGTATTTTGACCAAGTCATTGACACATTAAAAGATGAAGCAGTTTTTTTTTATTCCAAATGTCGCTACTGACACGGAATGCAAAGTAAATCGCAACGTTTTTAATGACTAACTTTTGGCTTCGACCATGGAATTATTAATTTATCTGATAATTGTTTGGCAATTCTCTAAGCTTTGATACTAAATTGGGAACGTTAACCACTAGGCTTGGTGACATCACTAGAACATTACAAAGTCAGGGAGTATTAAACAGTTATCCTCTTTTTGAGCCCCTCAAATCCTTTTCGCCATTTCAAATTAATCCTAGGTTTAGGCAATTGCGAGAAACCAAACCCTAGACGTCGAATATTATTCTGAAACCAAATAGTATCATCTATACAGTATCATCGTACCAATTCATTGTCGTCTTGTCTGTCACTGTATTTATTTTAATTCTAAACCAAGTAAACAAGATATTTGAAGTTGCATTCATTTTACCGTAAGATTAGCAGTAAAATCGAAAATGTCCATGTTATAATCTTGTGCGTAAGATTCGAAAAATTGATACAATTTAATTCAGTAAAAGTTAGTGTACTAGACTATAAAGCACCTTCATTCTGTGAGGGTTTATGGTACTATCCATTTGCCGAGATGTAATTATGTCGAACCGAGTTTAAACTTGGAACTTGTTAAATGTCGAGTGTTACAACCTGTGTCGTAGCTTGTCTAAAAAATATAATTAAGGTTAATGATAAAAATTTATTTAGAATTCAGGAAGTAAACTCGCAGTGAGATAATAACCGAATAACAATATAACTCAACACGGTGCTTGTTTCATGTACTAGGCTACGAACGACATGCTGTGATACTACCAGTTTGTCCAGGCTAAAGTGAGTGGGGTAGAATTTGAACTTTAGGCCCACTGCTTGGAAGTCAAGTTCTTGGAGCTAAGGTGCCACTGCTCCACAATGACTACTGTATTTCAAATAAACAGAGCATTCAGTGATTTATAGGTAGTGAAATTATTAGTTATTTGAAAGTTTACCGTCGCATGTTAATTTAGATAGTTATTCAGTTTAATGATATGTATCCTGTCTTGGCTAAGCTATTGCTATGCTACAGATGAAACGTCTTATTTAATTCTAGGAAGGTAATGTTACCCTTGACCTGTTTCACCCTGAAAATTCTGCACACTGGTTAGGAGAGTTTGTAAATTAAGATGGTAACTTGTTTTCATGATAAGGATTTATGCTTATTTCCATATTAAAAAGCATTTGTTTGTACACTGAATGTACAATATGTAATCCCTTTTGAATGCTTTTTCTTCCATATATAGTCGCATTATTCTACCCCTGACTGTTGACGAGTATCATGTTGGACAACTATGGGCAGTTGCAGAAGCGTCTAAAAATGAAACAGGTGGTGGCGAAGGAATAGAGGTTTTAGTAAATGAACCATTCAACAGTGAAGTCAATCCTCCAGAATCACCTTTGGTGGCGAATGACAAAGAGTACTATTCTGGACAGTACACCCATAAACGGTTTTATCTGGCCAGGAAGGTTCCTGGTTATGTACGACTACTTGCTCCAAAAGGATCACTAGAAGTTGATGAAGAGGCCTGGAATGCATATCCCTACTGTCGTACAGTTTTACAGGTAGGTATTAACCCACTTTGTGATTTTCTTCAGAATCCTAAATATATGCAAGGAAATTTCACTTTGATGATTGAATCGATGCATGTTCAGGATAAGGTTGATGTAGAAAATGTAAGTTTCTATTTTCAACTTGTGAAAATATCTCAGATCCATAACCTTCCACCGAAACTTTTAGCTCAACGAGAAGTTATATATATTGATATAGCAAATGATGAATTGTACACTGCTTCTGATTATGACCCAGCATGCGATCCTCGAATATACCAATCAGTCAAAACTGGTCGAGGTCCATTAGTCGGTCCGAAGTGGTGGGAGGTTAGTTTATTCTTCTGAACCGTATAGTTAATTCCAACAATTTTTTTAGAACACAGATCTACCAATAATGTGTGCTTACAAACTGGTGACATGTGAATTTAAATGGTGGGGTATTCAAGGACGAGTGGAAAATATGATACTAAATGTATGTTGATTTCAATTAGATAAAATCGTTTTTATATCCTCTTTGTGCTTCATATAGCAAGAAAGACGAATCTTTCTGAATTTCAATCGTCAAGTTTTCTGTTGGTTAGATAAGTGGCATGGGCTCTCAATGGATGATATTCGAGATATAGAAAATAAAACAAAAGAAGAATTAGATCAGGTAATTGTATCTCTCTATATATCTACATATATTTATACACTTGATAATGCTCTTTTCGTTTCTAGTTGTTATACTTTATATGATGTAGACAAAGAGGAGAATCCTGGTGAATAATTTTAGCAACGATCAATACTTTTTCATTTCAAGGGATATACTCTGATTTTTACTTCTTTTTCTCTCTGTTTACATTGGCAATCTCTCAAGCTGATTAGCTTAAAAACTTCGATAACTTACTGACAAACTTAAACTGTGTGTGAAGTACAAAATTTTAGGTCGCTATGGCTTCAAAACCCGACAAATGAGGTAGGTGGAAAGTCAGCTTTTAACAGGGCAGTAATAAATTAGTAACTGCCTCATTTTCAACACAATGCTGACTGAACTGGCTTCACTTCGGGTATTTGAAGTCAGCATGAAGTCCTTGGTCAGTTAACTGCTATGAAGGACTTCACTGAGTCTACTTAGTAGTGTCCTTTATCGAAATGACGAGGTACTGCACTCCTGAATGAAGATGAACCTATCAGATGTAGACCTTCGGTATTTTCTACATAATCCCGGTAGACAATTCCCTCTCTGTTGTTCCTACGTACTCGTTTTCAAATGGACATATGAGTAAATAGATATAATTGGAATTCAATTTTGAGGTTTGTGGGGATTTATTGACTTCAGGTTGGTATTCACTATGAACTGACATTTGTTGAAGAAGCATTGGAAATTTGGGACACTGGACAGCTGTTTCACCCTAGTTTGCGACTCTTCAGCAGTGGACATCTATGGCCCCACCAGGGGTCGGACTCAGGACTTTCAGATTCCGTGGTCAGCACGTTACCATTGAGCCAAATGGTCAAACTATATCTGCGCGAGAACTAACAGATATATTAGGAGTGTACTGTCTAGGATCTGTCCAACTGCGAGTCCTGTCCCATTGCATCAAACAGTGTGTTTATTTATATAATAATAACTAGACATATTTCAGACTTTTGTTAATTCCAAGTATATTTATTAATTCATATGTCCATTTGAAAGCGAGTACGTAGGAACAACAGAGAGGGAATTGTCTACCGGGATTATGTAGAAAATACCGAAGGTCTACATCTGATAGGTTCATCTTCATTCAGGAGTGCAGTACCTCGTCATTTCGATAAAGGACACTACTAAGTAGACTCAGTGAAGTCCTTCATAGCAGTTAACTGACCAAGGACTTCATGCTGACTTCAAATACCCGAAGTGAAGCCAGTTCAGTCAGCATTGTGTTGAAAATGAGGCAGTTACTAATTTATTACTGCCCTGTTAAATGTTGACCTTTCATCATGTCAACTCTCATAAAATTTGAATGCCTTTAGTTTTCCTCATCCTCAGCCATTTTGCTTCTGACTCTCGTTTCAGTATTACTTTGTCTGTAATTTTTTCTACTTTTAATCTTATCCAGTTTTCGTTTGTTAAGATAATCTTCACATAATTTTCTACTCATCTCACACTGGTGAAAATCCCTCACTTAACCTTATGCATCTAGTTTAACTGAGCCTAATTACTTTCACTTTCCTTGTGTTGTGAAGTGTGTTTTGACTGATTTTTTAAACAATATCTAATTTCACTAGGATCTCTATATGAGGTGTGTCAGTATTTGTTACAGTGATTATTTAATTCTTCATGTTGTATGCTGCCCTTGAAGAATGTTTACCTTCTGTTTATTTAAGAAATATATCATAGCATGATTGTGCAGAATAATTTCATACTTTGAAATTGGAAGGGATTTAAGCGCTGGGTAAATATTTTTACAAGGTATTGTTGAGACTCTAAACCAGCAACAGTACCACTGAAAAGTAAAGAACATTCAATCAGTATATTTTTCTAGTTATGCAGTGGTTCTTGCGTTCTAATGCTTCTCTAGTAGGTGTCTATCCGTGATGAAATATCTTGAGATCACTTGATTGGCTACAAAACCGCTCAACTAGTATTCATTACATTTTGGCTTGTGTTTTTCAGTAAATCGAAAACGAATCGGATTTTTTTAATGACGTTGATAGCTCCGTTGAAGTTATGGCAAACTGGAGTTTGACAAATCAAAGTTTATGTAAGACAATAATGTGTGTCAAGGTTTCTGGGCATCACTAATTGTGTATCTCGAGTTTTTTTCTTCATGAATTTACGCACATAATTGTCACTAACAATGTGCAAATTGTAACATCTTTAGATGCACATAATTCTTTATGAATTTCATTTTGCTTGCTCAATATTTACAAACATATGGTGTGCGACGTGTAAATTCCAAATAATACAGTTGGCAATCAGTAAGTAATGCAACTCCGCCGGTCTGTTTGACTTGACGGCTTATGGTTGCTGCCCCTTTTCCTAGGTTCAAGTAAACGGGTTACGGTTTGAACTCCAAGAATCACTGGTTATAGGTCGAGTGTCCAGGCAGATGAACTGCTTCTCTACCTACCGTATAGGGATTATTTATCTTTGTATTTTTGAAATTTAATGTTGAAATGAAGTGATAATTAGATTTAATATTCGGTTTTTTTAATGTTAAGTATTATTTCTATTCCAAAGGGATATGAAACTTAGCGATCGCATTTTCTAAGTTTCATCAGTCTCAGCTTTCATCTGTGTTTAGGGTTTTATTATACTGAGAAAGTATAATTATAAAATAAACTAGACAAATATTCATTGTTTCAATTTGGAGGTTTGTGGTGAATTCCAACCTGAAATCAAATTTTGATTGTATCTACAGTCAGGTGATTCTAAAATATAATTTTCATGACTGTATACTTCCTCAGAGTTTTAGATGAATAATAGAGTGAAGAAAATAAAATAGAATTTGGGCCTTGTTATAGTGTACGATTCCACACTGAATATGCTTACTTGATCATATCAAGTTTATGAGCAGTGATTTATACTTAAAGCATCATCCAGTAAATGATACTGTACCGCTGTGTTCTAAATCGAATAAATCATATTCAATAATTGAGCACTTGTTGTCGATTATGGTTCTCAAAGGAAGATGGATTTTGGAGGGTTAGAGTAGCTTATAATAGTTGTGCAAACATCTGGATAAAAGTCCAAAACATGACAGCCAATATAAATTATGATTAGCGAAGACACAAAGACGAATATTTTTCTGCCATACTCTTTAGTTTTACTTTTTTTGACTGTCGTGCTCAAATTGGTTGATGAAAACAAGAAAGGCTTTGCCATCCTATATAATGTTGTTTGAAAAGGATGAATATACACAGCAATAGTTTGGTATTCTCTGAGCTTGTTCTTGGATGGTTCATCACCAGGCTATGCGACTTCATTAGTACTTACTTCAAATTTTTGTTTTTAATTAGCTTTATCTTTTATAGCGTTTATCTTTGCATTGACTTTATCAAGTCAACAATGTAGAACCTCGCAAACAATTGCATCTGTTGAAATTGCCACACACCTTATCAATTAGGAGATTACATATGTTCAAAGTTAATCCGAGAACCGTGTAATACGTATAAAGTCTGTCTATATTAATTCTTTTGGATCTTAATGACTAGCGTAATTCCAAAAAAATATTCACTCTAGTTTCTAATTGATTTCGGAGACGTAAGTATTTATTGTCTAACCGTATGACTTTCGATAGTTCAACCGTTCATCCCGAACAATAACAACAAAATATCAATCGATTTATGGTCAAACGATAGTTAGTTCTGATCATGTTTTACCTAGTTGCTTTTCTCGGTGCCACTTTTTGTGATATTTTCTTTCTTTGGTATTGTTTTCTTTTCTTGTGCCCTGTCATATTCAATTTGTGTTTTTTTACTTCATTAATCTTTATTGCTTCGTATATATGCTAGTTAGGCATATTTTTAAACACTGATCTGATTTTCCATTTCCAGCAACGGCTTGTCGGTGGAATCCGTGGTACTGTGGCTCATGACTAAACTAAAAGATATCTTTTTCCAAAAAAATGATGTTTTCTCAACCGAATACACAAACCAATCTATCTACACATGTACACAAGTGAAATATGTAACGACATTACAACTTCACTGTTATAATTATCGTTTATTCATGTGAGTTATATTCACTAGGTTATTATTATTTTTTCGCTTGTTATTTAAGTAGCTTTTGAGATAAACCGATTTTCCCAATAGATATTGATGACAATTTGGCTATTTTATCTAATATGTATCCAATAACATCAGTTTTGATGTAATATTGGCAAAAGGTTTTGAAGATATGTCAAAACTAAAGACCATCCACATATCTCAGTCATGATGTCTGCAATCCATGTCACTATGACATCATGTGGGATGTTAATGAGGATACTCTCAGTGAAGTTCTTTATTTAAAACACAAACTTGGTAAACATAGGCACCGAAAAAATGCACTATGAAATCTACTAGAGTCGAAATGTACTCAGCAACCATATGAAATTTGTGCAGTAGACAGTAAGCCACACTTGTTGTGTCTAAACTTGGTTATATGAACGGCCTTCGAGTCTGTAACTGTTTGGAGTCCCTAGACCAGTAAAGTATATCTCTACCTTAAAATATTGATACTTAGTCTAGTACATTTTTTGATGGATTAGAATATTAGCCGTGTTTGTCATGTAAGGGTTTATGATACTGCCAGGTTACCCAGGTCAGAGTAGTTGGAGGGGGATCTGAATGAAGGACTCATTGCCTAGTATGAGAATGCTTAGACCGAAAAACCACAGCTCCAATGAAATTAAAGCCATTATATTGCTTTTGTTTACAAACCATGCAAAATATAACCGTAGACATCCATGTGACAACTCTGTTGACAAAAGCTCCTCAAACGCATTAACATTGAATTCTGTGTTTAGTTCTACAATATGAGCAAGACTGTCAGTTTAATATATTTTATAAGAATGTAGACCTTATGGTAAGATCCATAGTTTTCTGGATATGGTGAGTTAAAATTTAAGATTGTTTGGGCTACGTTCCTCACCATCAAAATGCAAAATGTCTCGTTAACATTACTGCGTTGACGCGTCTAGTAGTAGAGAGTGAAGTAGTTGAACTCATTGACCGATTCACTTACTCGAGAAGTCGGATCTGTCCATATGAATCAGTGACCGACGAAATCTTTACATGGATAAAAATGGCTTGATTTACTTTTCCCAGATTGCATTACCTATGGTGGTAGCTTGTTAAAAAATCACCTCCTAAGGACCAGGTATATTGCGCATCGTTTTCCTGTGCTCTACCATATTTTTATGAAGCATGTTCATTAAGGGTGTACAAAATGAGAAGACTTCGGATACTCGACTATCGTTGTCTTCATGGCATTGATCATGTGTCTTGTAACCTCTGTGTTAGTAACATAGAGTCGAGGAGTGGATTTTTAGTTTAAAAAAGTTAATCAATCGATGAGGTTGTAAACCTTTACTGACTCAGGTTGCTGGAAAGTGCTATGCATGCATAGCCACCGTGTCTACCCAGATATCCAGTGTTAGCTAGAGTATGGTTGTCTTGGAAAAAGGTTAAAATTGGCTAGATTGGGACGTGGTATCAGTTCATGAAGTGTCGTGTAGAAGAATGTAGGATTTGGTGGTTGTAATCTGCGTGACGACCACATCGATGACTGCCGACTAGGTGTTTCAGTCGACCTGAGGGGCGCTGATGCATCCACACATTATCTTCATTGTCATTGTCGCATTTCACTATTATTTTGCTCATTTATTTCTCTTTTCTTATCATTTTACACGGCTAATGATTACATTTTTAACTAATTGCTCTATCATCTTGCTGCCGAATATCTTGATGTATCGGTATTAGCTATTTCAACTTGAGCCATTCCACAGGCACACCAAATTTCATGCAGGTATTCACTGACTGATTTGTGGCAATGGTTAACTTGGTCAACAAGTTGGTATTCGAAACCACTATCTTATGACAAGTATTTTTTTAAAAGTAGTTTTAGTACTGATGATGTTAATGTTGACATTATTTGGAAAGTTTACGCGTTGTATGAAATTTAATCACAATGTAAACAAAATTTAAGCGTATGTGGCAGCATAAACAACGCTGATTGTATGGTTGTTTGTGACCGTATGTCTACGCAGAAATTCAAGTACATTTATACATTCTATGAATTGTGAAAAACAACCATGTGATCATGTATCTTCATCATCATCTGATGGAGTACGGGTGGAAATTTTTTCCTCTCTCCGCATTGCATTGCCGATAATTTCTAATTGGAAACAAGTGGAGCTGTCGCACATTGGCTTAGGCAGATGACTTTCAACCGGTGGGTTACGGGTTCAAGCCCCGCTCCACCTACTGGGATTTGTGCAGCCAGGTATTATCACTTGACCTCATACAATAAGTATGGCTCATCGCCTACTGCATGAATGTGCACAAGGCTGCTAAGTGCATTTTAAGTCGCTGCCATCGTCTATTCTCAGCCTTCGAATGGGAAACAAATAAATATGTTTTGAAACCACGACGAAAATATGTAGATTAACGGGGGTGCTTTTGATATTTTATGTCCTGTGAGCACAGAATACAACTAAACTAAAATTATGAGTCTATACCCTCTCCCTTCAATATGTTCTGATACATCTAGCTGCACCAACTAGTAGAAAAGCTAATACTTTCAAAATGAAACAAATGAAGCATGGGTAAAGTTTGTCGAAGGCCATTACTCTCAGCAGATACCTGGTTCCTTTTCACCTTAGCATAGTAAACCCAATTTTTAGCAATCATCGTAAAGCAAGAGTGTAGATTTACTTTTGATGTTCAACTATGAATATGGTTGCATTTATATTATCTTGTGTATAGCCATTTTTTGTTTAAACTTTCTTTACCAATCGGACATTATAATACAAACATGCTTGTGTTCTGCGATCCATTCGGCTTGTGTGCTGCAATAGTACAAGTGAACTCAAAAAGCTCAAATTGTGAGTATATATTATGATATATAGCACTGTACGACATTATGGATTGCTCTATCTATATGACATTTTCCCCAAGCAATGGGGTGTTTGTTCTTAAGAATGGACAACATAGTTTCAGTCTGAAAAATGTAAAATGGAAAGACAACATCGGGGATTGACTAAAATGTCGCTTTCCAGATGATAATGTCTAGTTTTTTCGTGAGCGAAAGGACTTGAACAATATGAGAATAACGTTTTAGAAGTAGTAAGTTTTAAGTAATTCAGTAAGATATTGGGTAACAAACAATCCGTTGTCTTGTGTATTTTGTTATAGGTAATGGGTGAATACAAATTAATATCGTATGGAAAACTGCTTAGTTTGGATTTTGTCCAATATTAGTTTCGGATTCCGACATTCAAAAATTTGGAGTGCTACCTTAGGGCCTGCAACTTCTTTTTCCTCAGCCTTTGAATATAATCATGATCATACCTAGCGTCTGTTCACCTTACGAAGTTGACTTACCGAATATATATATATATATATATATATATATATATATATATATATAATATACAAATAAATAAATAAATATATATATAAACATACTTTGTGGTTAATGATTTTATTTTTAAGTTAGTGTTAACTACGGGCTAACATCGGCTGGAGAACTACTGAGAACCTGGGAGTACTGGATACAGTATGGGACTCCTCAGCAGTACCCACCTATGACGCTGTCAGTGATCTAGCTCACGAGCTTCTGGTTTCACGACGAACGCGTTAACTATTCAGCCACTGGGTCAGAGTTTAATAGTCTGCAGTTTACCATATCTATTAGTTTGCGATATGACGAGACTATCCTCCAAGGTCTTCACTTGGCATCCACTTCACTTCCGACTGCTTTTTCAACTGATGTCAGTCCCTGATGAATACTGCCTTAAAAATAAAATCCCCGTAAATCTCAAACTGTACTGCTCATTAGGAACACGCTTTAAAATTCTGGTGAGAAGTCGTGACCACTGGGGTCACAGTCAAAAGTGAAGCGTATGCCGACTGAAGACCTTGTTGGATAGTCCCGCTATATAGCGAATTGAAAGAAGTAAGAAACTGTCAACCATTGAAGTGCGATTCAACAACTGAATGGCTGATGCGCTTACCGTGAAGCTCGTGAGCTTGATCCTTCCTAAACTTCGTTATGTGAAGTAGAGACCTGGGCCCTCATTGATTGACAGTCGAGCACCTAACCCAATGACAGAACTTCACTATTATGGAAAACTGCGTGCGTAAACCAGCTCTGCTAAGTGAAGTATCAGCTACCTCCCTCTTCAAGTTGTCAAATTGTTAAGGAATATTAACTGTATTACTGATAATAATAATATCGACATCTCATTTTTGAAAGAAAACCTATGTATTCAACGGTGGTTATTGTTACATATCAGTATCAACTAAGCAGAATGAATTCTGTTTAAGTATTTGAATTGTATTATTCATTTTTTTTTGTTAATTTCTATGAAATTTTAGTGAACTCTTCTTCTACAAACCTAAAAGCAAGTGTATTCTGTAAAATCCTCACTCAACTGAAATATTTCCACATGTCTCTCCATCTGAAAGTACCCGATTGAGTTAGTTCATTTGAAAAGAAAGTAGAACCAATGTTTTGCTGTTCTTACTCGTGTGTACGTGAATGCTTTCCTTTATCAAGTGTATTTCATAATGTGATATTTACTGTAATTTTTTAAAATGTTTATTCGCAAAAAAACTAGCAGTTTCCTTCTTATTTACACCTAAAGATGATATATCCATCTATGTTGCTGTTAGTTAACTGCGCCAAATTACCAAATAAAATCTCCATAGTGAGCGAAATCTTTGCCTTACTATTCTGATCCTTTTTATGTTTACTGTTCTGTCTGATCAAAATGTTTCACTCTGAGTCTTTTACTTCACACTTACTACTTCCTTTCATTGTTATCAGTCATCACTGTTACTGGTGATTCACTAGTATTTTACTTTTGAGGTTCCTGTCATAACACATTCCAAACTGTTGAAAGATATTTCAAGCTTTCATTCTTCTCTCCCGGTTACGTTCATCTTTGTGAACAAGTTTTCATAGTCTTTTGTGTTTGGTCATGTCTTATTTGATATTACAGAAGTTTCTTCATTTTACGTATGTATGTTGTCTATCTTCACTGATATGATTAAATAATCACAAATTACTTAGTTAATTGGTTCCTTTTTGTTTGTCTTGTGAATGCCTTTCATTTCGCCTATTTTTACCCATGTGAAAAATGCTTTTTGCGATTTATTGTTGTCATGGTTATCCTCATTGTTGTGTTATTGTTGTCTCTTAGTTTGTGAAGATGTGCAAAATGGACTCCATCTTGGAAATATATCAGTCAATTGCATACATCCCTTCATCAATAAACGCAGAATGACAGATGGTTCTAGTTTACTCTTCATTTATCAATGCTTATATTTTTACTTGCCTATATATTTTTAACATTTGTAATACCCTGTGTGTAGGCAAGTTTATTTATCAATTTTTCTGCCTGTATATGTGTGTGCGTTTGTGTCCAGCTTCCTAAACAATGTAATCAAGGAATATGAATAATTACTTTCAAGGCAAATGATAGTGTTAATGTCTTTTGTTGCTTTATTTCATTTTTTGTGAGGGGTGAGATGGGAGTTGAGTGAACTGGTGCCGTGAAATAACCAACCACGAATCAGTAGCCGATTTCCTGCTCTGGTAATAATTGTTGACAAGTTAAACTATCGATTGAAATGTACAGTATGTACGCTCAACCAAAGAGCTCTACACTGATCTATTGGTCTTTCAGCTTCATTGTGACAATTCTTGTTGTCCTGTACTACCTTGTTAGGTGTTTACCTGTTCAAACTTATCTCTACTACTGGAGTTAACGTTTATTGTTAGTCAAAGATTTCAAAATAAGTAGATGTGTTTTCTGAGCTTTAAGTAGGTGTATTGATATAAAACAAAAGTTAGCACAAGAAAACTTTGACAAGACAGCATCTGCGCTTATTGTCATTTCGTTGGTATAAATATGAATGGATTGATGACTTGTATGGAGGTAAACATATCATATGAAGGTAGATGCTAAAGTGTTTGCTTAACAATCAGGATCCAGCTGCTAATATGTAATCAGCAGTTTACAGTAGATTCATTGATGAATTCGCTAATTTACAAACTGGTTTCAGTGTTCTAAAAAGTTACTGAACTTCTTTAGGAATTTGAAAAAAATCTTGGACGTGTCTATCCGTTTCTGAAGACGATTAGGCTAAAATGTTTGCTAATAGGACCTTCGAAAAACTACTGAATGACGAACAGAAGAGCTTTAACTATGACAATTCTTACTGGAAAGCATGCGGCTATATTCCTCACCAGAAAGGTGATTCTGTTTGTGTATCACAAGTACTGAGGATTGATAATTCCCCATGTTCAGTAAATCTGCATTTAATCAATGTGTTTATGAATCTCATCATTCACTAGCAATTCAATATCTAAAGTTCCTATTGCTCAGATTTTAAAAATATCAAGGTATATTTTAAATAAATGTGTTTTTTAGGTGTCACTAGTATTTTAGGATGCAGTTTGCGTAGTTTTTGTCATGGCTACTAATGTTGACGGTTTGAAGCAGAAATATAAGTTTGTTTCATCATTATCACGATTTCAAATGAATTTCAGCAAAGTAGTTGGTTTCTCATCGAGTGATCCGAGCTCAGTTTAAATCTCTGTTCTCTGTCAATACCGAAAGCTGCCCTCTCCTTGTAACCAGTTACTCATGACTGGATCGTTTGAAAATACTTCAACTGTGAATCAAATTTCGTTAGGATGAAAGATTATGTAGTAATGAAGTACCTAAATAGCTTGAATGCTATACTGGTTGTCTCTTACAGATTATACGTGTTATATTTGTACAGTTAGTCTGCGTCTATCAAACAAATTCACTGTTTGGAACGATCAGTCCCTTCAATAAATTTCCACAGCGTTATTACAAGACGAAGATTATCTGAAAAATATGGTATATTTTGTGCAATGCATTTGGAACAGTCTGATCACATATACTTGTCAAGCCAATTTATATATGAAGATAAAGAAAAGTTAAGGGTCAAATGTATTGAATATGAAAAAGTTGTGACACTAGTCTTGGTAATGTAATCAGATAAGGATTATTAAAGTAAATTAAGGGAAATAACAAATTGCTTTTGTACACAGAACGGGGGCTTAAGCTTTCCAATGGTTAACGCTTCGGGAAATTTCAGTATGCTTCCTTATGTAAAATCTTGAATGCTGTTTTCGTATTAACTTTATCATTCACTTCGATTATATGTTTTGCTATAAATGAAGGTGGATGCCTGTCACATACACTTATCAAAGTTTGTGTGTTAAGTTGTTTTTCAAGCTATTTAGGTATATATTCACTCATATCACGATTACTCCTCCCTAAGCGTGTCCACATACATGTAAATTGGTAAGCACAGTGGTGTATGACATAATCATTTATATGAGGTTGTGTCTGACAGAAATTAGCTCTCATCATCCATTATATCAGATGTACAAATACGTTGGATCATATCAAATAAGCATCTTACTAAACCTCTTTTATATTTCATTGGACAAAAGCTGTAGAAGCTTAAGTACTGTCCCATCCAAGTAGGCTTTCTATAGAGTGGTCGTCTGATAAATCCATCTTCCCAGCGATTCAACAGTATATAAAGAAATCCAAGTTGATGGTCATTTTCTTCCTCACATTGTCAGACTGATATGATCTTTTAATCAACTCACATATTACGATGATATCATCAACATACCTTCTATAGAATTTGATATTACTGATTAAATCCTGAAACATTGGTTAAATATGTGATGTTTAAACATCTACTAATAACGACCCTAATAAACTCCCCATGGCAATACCATAAATTTGCCGAAAGTGCTCACCTTCGAAAGTGAAGTAAACCTTGTCAGTACATAATAAAAGTAACTCTTCTAAATGCATTGGAGAAATAGGCAAATAAGGATAATTTGATTATATATAACGGCAAAGAATACTGTCTTCGTTAGAGGTACATTGGTAAATAAAGAGTTGACATCAAAAGAGTACATTTTCTTGTATCTGATATTCATATTAATAAGACAATCAGCAAGTTCAAAAGTATCTTCCAATGAATACTTACATAGAACATTACGAATCAGGTTTAGTGTTTCGCCAATTTGTGTATGGTATACTAACATTGACAATATTGGGCGTAGTAGATTACTAATTTTATAGGTTTTTAGAAGTCTGTATGCATTTTCAGAATTAGATCCCATGGGTTTTAAGGAGTTGAACACACCGTTATTAACAAGGAGTTGCGTAGGTTACCCTTGTGACAACTGGGTTTACTACAGATACATCCTCTGACACTCTTAGTTCACTGACTAGGAAAAATTCACGAAATACGAATATTTTGCATAGGTAATATTACAACTCAATTCTACTACTGTTTCTTTAAAACGATTCTCCATTTGCGAGGAATTCGATCATTTAGAGAGTTTGACAAGTTATAAGATATTTAACTGGCAATTTGGGTATATCACCTACAATCATAAAATACATAAAGACTATCGCTATACAAATCGAAGTATTTTGTGCTAGCTATGCATGCGACGCTTGAAAACTGAAAGAGCGATGCATACTAACATTTTAAAGGAGATAGGAAGGTATTTCAAATGTCTAATCTCATCTAAATACTGACTTTCATTCCTACTTACCGTAGACTTTTGCTGAATATCTGGTAATACTCTGAATTTATGTAAACAATAGAATCATATAAAAAAAGTCAGATCTTTTATGGTAGTTAAACTTAGTTGCTCATGATCATTTACGTTTTCTGTTTGTGTAGAAACTCTTGTGTTTATTGGAGCAATTATAAACTTTCATTGCAGTCAGCAGCTTGCCAATGAATGACGTTTTTCCATGAAAAACATCTTTTTTTCCTTGCACATTGACTATTTTGTCTCCCAACTGACAGGTGGCAGGATTAAATTTTACAGTATGTCACATGGCTTCGATAAGTTCGAACCGATTCAGGTGCAAAGTAGTAACACAACGTTTACAAATGACTATCTTCCAGTAAATGTGTGCCAAATCTAAATTTATAAAAGCAGCGCTTCAGTATACTGTACATTTAGTAGTTAACAAAAGAACTTGACGCAGTAGTTGTGAACTTTGTGCTTATCGAGACTTCCTTACTCATTTCTTTCGGATTTATTGTTAAACCGATAGATACGGCGTTGAAATGGCGATCTTGCTTGAGTATCTTGTTTACCTGCACCAACTGCGAATGTTGTTCTATGAGGTCCTATCATACATAAACGTATAATGGTAAGATTAAAAGCAGTTCTTGTTATAATGTAAGCAGCCTACAGCATGGTAAGGGTTCTAAGAATGAAGTCATCGTGCTAGTTGGACGTGTTGTGATAGCAGTAAGATCTTTCCTGCTGATGACCAACCTTCCATGGTGATACTGCTCTGTGTTATAGGAAGGAGAGGTTGGGTGAGGTCCATCCTAGGAAAAAAAACACTCCTTCCTACTTCACAAACTTCAGGAACCTGCAGTTTTGGTCTTTCTTCAAGTACGAAAACAACGAAATGAAATTTCAAACGAAATCCCCCTTCAAGACTATCGTTAACCAACTCAGAACAGGTATCCCTTGGGTTCTGAGGTCACACACTTGGGTCGATAAGACCATAGCAACTAATCCACTTTCTTTTGGCACGTCAAGAAGTAACCTCTCATAGTATGGGCACCTGGGAAATGTCAACCCCAGTCACGACTCTGTTATCTTTCAAGTTCCCTCAGATCATCGTCAAACTTACATAAGCTTGCCTTCTAATGTTTCTTCAAGACTCTTGGCCAACATTCCCCTCATCATCTTTATTTTTTTTGCACCTTTGTAAACCTCGACAACGATATGAGCCCACGGAACAGCATCCTTGGTCTCTTATAGCTATGTTATGTCCACAACCTCTGTCAAATCCCCCAATAAGCCTCACTAGCCAACGCTTTGTCATCTTGGATCATGAATGTGTGATGTTTGTGAGGCGTGCATGTAGGACCTGAGTGTGGTAGTTAACATAGTGGCATGTGGTCACTACAGTAAATCTACGAAAATTCACACTCTGAGTTTCTAAAGATTCCTCAGTAAGTTTGTTTTGTCCTGCAAGCGTAGGCATAGCATTAAGTGCTAAGGCAGAAAGTGCACTACTTGACTCAGTAGCCATTGATAATCGCCTGTGCAATTCTTCAAACTAATGGTGTGGTCACGACCTATGAGAATAAGGACAAATGTCGTTATCTGCTTGCGATTCGTACCTTTGCACCAACTAACTGCCTTTCGGATGAAGTGAAAGATGAGTTCAACAGAAAGCCAAATTTTAAGGTGTATTTGTTTTAGTGGATGACTTCAATGCAGAAGTGAACAGATCAATTTATTCCTGGGTGGTACTTTCAGAATCCCATCCGAGAGAAAAAATAATGGCTGTTGTCTGCTGCAACTGTTCCCAAAAACCGTCTGTTTCTGACCAGTTCGGATTTCGAATATGAGGTGAGATACGGTCTG